ATAAATAAAATATTAGTAAGTACTACCAGTAGTTTCAGAAAACGGCGAGTCGAAAATTTCAAACTAGTGAAAGTGTTATCATTTATATACATTTTGATAGGATGTAGATTTTTATGAATTTACTTTAAGATACAAGATACTTTCAAGAAAGTTGTATAAGTTAGAAAAAGTTTGGAAAAGTTGGTCTCCAAAATGCCTTCGAATCATTACCCAAAATATTCTATTCGCTTTCATAAGGATATAATTTGATTTTAAGAAAGGGTTTTTGAAATTTTCTAACGTTATAGACAATGAGAAATGCCAGTACTATAAAGTGCATTTATGTAAAAAAAGTGCCGTTTAAAATTTTTTCTAAAGCTCTTACTGAAAAAACAAACGAATGATAATTTTGGAAATATATCAAAATATCCTATTCCTGGCTTCACTCCTAAACTAAAAACATCTAATCCCCTTCAAGTATTGAAAATATGGGTCTGTCACTGATCAGAGACAAAATCAAAACACCGAAAACCAAAGCAAGTTTATTCTTAGCATGCGTTATAATCGTATATTTTTCTATATGTGAGCAATTCTGCAAAAATGTTGGTAAGTGTCAATTTCTTAATACTAATTTTTGAAGATTTTTTGTAAGAACTTGATGATAGTCAACAATTCAAAAAATGAAGTTTTTCTTCTTCAACAAAACACACAAAACTTGTATCTCGGAAAATGGACGTTACGCAATGGAGTTGTGACAACGTATTTTTCTTCCCAAATGTTAACTTCACCAAAATGTTTAAATTTCATATTACATTATAATACACATCTACAAGTGCAGAACTAAATGCATTATTGCAGATTTGCCCACACAAACCATTCTTAGGTCAGACAAAAAATTGATTATTTGTTAACCGAGCCTGACCAACAATACTTTTGGGGAAATAAATTTCTCGCGCCAATTTTTTTCGAATGTGAGTGGATTTTTTTTCTTAAAAGACTAATGCTAAAATGGTTTGGCAAGTGGGAATACTTTCTGACTTTCTGAAAAGTTTGTTCCTAAACTTCAGCTACTACGCCTGTCAAAACATCACGTTTTTAAAGCGAAAAGAAAACTTTTTTCAATCATCACACCCTGTTAACATAATCTCGAAGCTTGTAAACCATGTCATCAATTTTGTCCGACCTGACCGTCAAATCGATTTTGGCATTGAAAAGATATATATTAAAGGAGAACTCCAAAAGTATCATTTTCAGGCTCGAGAACTTATAGGTATTCGCTCCATGACAAACACATTAACAAATTACAGTAGAATATCTCGCAAACATTAGAAAAACTGTACTATGACTTGATATCACGTCTAGTATTTATATGTGTACATCAAACCAGTGTAATGCAGGGTTGACACTTGGTACAGATAAAGCATCAATTATTTTCATTGTATTGACACGTTTCATCAATCAAATATAAGTATTTTCTATTTCACTGGACCCCTCCCCTTAAAAAAACTACAACCCAAAGGAAATGCTGCATCAAATCACAAAAAGAAAAAAAATGCAAAACATTACATATTAAATGTCAACCCTGCAAATTATCTGGAAGACAAACTTCGACAAGCAGAACAATCTTCGCTAATGTGTTGTTTTTGGCGGAGGACGTATCCAATCTCCCAGTATACGGTAGTTGACTGTTACTGAAATTAAAAGAAAGGATAATTACAAAAAAGGATACCATATTTGATAGAAAGAACTAGTTTATAAATAATCAACAACATTAACAAGTAAATTTTAGTAGGCCTACGTTTTCACTGGCGAATCTTGGGAGAGGGGTGACACAAAGATAAAATAATTTGTCTCGCTTTTCCGAACAGTTAAACAGTAGAAGACGAACGTTTGCAGTATTTTTTGTGGTATAGATTTGCGAAAAGTTTTGGTACTGCTTTACTGTCTTGGAGAGGGGGGGGGGGGGAGACGCCACACTTTCCCCACATGATCCGCTGTCGAGTACACGAAATATTTCAGGTTCTAAAACAAAGTATTTACATGTGTATTCTAGGATTTTAATGAAAATATAATAACGAGAATCGAAGTCGTGGGATTTACGTGCATCTATTCATTACCAAGACAAGCAAATATTTAGTCATTTTCTTTCTGGATCTGCAGGAAACATGTGTTTGTTGAATGTTAACGTAAATAGGCCTAATCATGATATTTCCAATACTTAAAAAAGAAAATATTGCCGTCGTCAAAAATAAGTGGTATGAATAAGGAGCTATTAATGTAAGTAAACGTACATGTACCTGCCTGTTCGTCGTTCATTATTTAAAACGGAAGAAAGTCTAGGCTCTTGCTTCTATTATGGCAAATTCTTTCCCTTTAAAAAATCAAATAACAATAACAATTTTAACTTCAAACTGATTATTTGGATTTGAAGTGGAAGTGTCGTTTACACCAGTCGAAATGGGGCCATGCACGGTAAAATGCTTTAGTTGAAAAATGCCCCATTTTGAACATATATCAACACTAAATAAGCAATGCTACATGTAAGGAGACAAATCTTACATCATTTATGCAGTACTCACCACGGCTGTTATTTTCAGCGCCAAATTTTCGGCCTACTTGTGGAAAATGTACCAGCGTGTGTCACGAGGCATTTTCCTCTTCCATCTTCTACTGACCTTGGTTCTACCTGAACACCTGTCACCAAAATGCTCACCTGATTTACATAATAACATTTAGTTCATCCATTTTCCGTTTGTAAACCTCGATTTCGACTTTAGTCTTACTATTACATTGCATGTGATACGATTCACATTCCGAGTGAATTCCCACCGGGAAAAGTTTTAGGTTATCCGAAATCACAAGGGTGAATAACAGATATGTAAGGCGCTCGACAATAGGATTTTTCAGGTCGCATGAATAAAATCACTGGCACGAGGTTGGGTCAATAAATACAGGATGTGATTTGTATCAAAAGTTATTATTTACTTTTTTACGGCTGCATAGATAATTTAACAGTGAAATATTGACTAGAAATCAAAACGTTAAGATCTTGATCTAAGTGGTCGAAAGTAGCAGAACGATCACGAGGACAGCTCAGTGTGTGAGCCATTGCTTACAAAAAAAAAAAAAAAAAGAAAAAAAAAACGTTCTCAATATACTTGAGTCAACCCACCACACCAGCAGATAAGATAATAATTGTTTCGACCATGAATATACAAAATAAAAATTTATATATGAGGAAATTGGATTACCATTCGGGTAAAATGTATCTGTATAGAGTTTCAAGGTTGCAATTTGCTTCTAAATTTTTGTTGTTGTGAAAATGAGAAACAGTAGATGGATAAAACGCTTTAAAAACTTTTGATTCCTTTAAAAGTTAAAAGTCTGCAGTTGCTCGGTAAGAAATTAAAAAGCCCATGTTGAGGATGGGTACGACCAGACATATATTTTTCTGTTTTTGTTTCTTATCTATCTATGTAAATGGCACTTAAAGAGGGGGTATCAGGACAAAGGATCTCACAATGCGTTGTTGCGTAGGGGAGCGGACAGCGTATTCTACTTCTACTGTAGACGCGGTGTACGTATCGCTCAAGTTTACAATATGCATTAGAAAAAAGGAAGTTGGGTTTTTTCTTCCCCCGTGTCAGCTCCATCGAAACAAATATTTGGATTCACTTTTAAATGAATGGACTCACATATATAAGGACACAGCAAGGTGACTAAGTTCAAATTTTCCCAGGCACAACATTTTTACATTCAAATATAAAACCGGCCGTTCTGCCACTTTACTGTCTGCCTGTAATATTTATAATTAAGACGAATTTTGATTAAAAAGAGCATAAACTATATATATCTAAATTATGAAATTATCGTTCGCGTCAGTAAATGCCCCCATAGTCATTACGACTTTAGAGTGAGATGTACCGTTTGGGGCAAATATCGTTAACGCAGATTAGGCAGAGTTATCTTACATTATCTAAACGTTACTTACAACACATTACTGCCGTATTTTCATGTAGTGTCATGTTTTCGGCCTACGAAAGAAAAGCATTAGCAATGCGGCTTCTTTCTTTACGATTCTTCGCTGTATGACCTTGGACCTGTCAGGACATCTGTCACCAAAATGCCCACCGGGTTAACCAGTACATATCAATATGCAGTACGCCCACTTTCCGTACGGCAGCCTCGATTCAAGACTATATGTTACATGATTATGTACCCTAGATTTCCATTTCCAGAAGGTGATTTGTGAATTTTAAAATATAGTGATTCAAAAAATCAGATTTTATCAACCATTTATTAATATCAGGAAATCGGGTTTAGAAATCAAATAGACCTATCATAGGTCAAATGAATGAACACAAAATGAAACCACTGATTGTGCTAGAGAAGACAAGATGTAGTTTTCACCCAATCTATAACCTTACACGACCGCCGATTCAAAACGTTACAACACAGTATGAAAGTCATCTTTATCTCAGATTACAACAACTAGATGAATCAAAAGTTAAATTGCGTTGCCTTCAAATTATTGTTCAAGCATGATACAAGCATAATACAAATAAATAATGCTAGAAGTTGAAAGTGTTTTGTTTTTTTGAAGGGCGCCCATCACAACAAAGACAATGGCGTAATGACGCCACTTGATGAAGTTATATATATAATTATATAACATAATGATATGTTGCACTGCTTTTGTGATATGACGTCATTTGACGTGTGAGCTTAGACGTCACTTATGTCTATGACGTTTTGATTATGACGTAATATAAGAAAACCCTCGCGTTTCCACCAGACAGGAGTAACAAAAGACAGGTTTACAATATAAAGGATACCGTTAAGGCAGAATTCAGAAGACATTTCTTTGAGCCAGATGACTGAGGTAATTACTATAGTTAGACCAACGCTGCTAAAACTTGCTGTCGCATATTGCTCAAGCAGCTTACAGATATGCGTTACATTTGTGTCACCTAATAGACTGCTAAGGATTGTGTATGCTATGGGGCACAAAATAAAATCCTTTAGGCATAGATCATTATATCACCGCTTATATAAATTCTTGATTACATTTTAAGTATCGAAATTGCCATTTAAACACAGCATCAATAAAATTGCCTTGACTTCGGTCAATTTGTACAGGGATTCACACAAAGATGCACATTAAAACTAAATAAGGTTTTAAACAACTGTTGTGAATTTTCTTTCGTCCGTTTTGAACATCATACCTCATGTAAAATGACTTGTAAAATTGGAAAAAAGTTTATTAATGTAAACATCTTATGACCGAGGACGTCGTTGTCCCACAGATGACAAAAAATGCAAACACAAACTCCAACAGCTATCAATGATAAGATGTGCGAAATTTGCCGAGATCTTCCGAATTGTCACTAATCATGTGATCAACCACGTGATGTGAAATGTCACCTCATTCCGACTGCGAAAGCGCAGGAAATGAAGTACCCTGTATGAAATCGTGCAGCAACATCAACTCTTTCTCGTGGTCGGTTGCAGCCCGCCCTGCGTGCTGCTGGGGTATAATTGACCCATCGTCTAAGGAGAGGATTCGAGACGCGTCAGTGATCCAAGGGTCGTCCATCATGGTTTCCTGTGATGATGGCCAGAGCTGGGCACCTTGCAGGGCCTGAGCTTGCTGCTGGAGTAGAAGCTGCTGCTGGAGCAACTGTATTCGCAGAAGTTGTTCCCTTACACTTAAATCTCCGAACGCCGATGAACTGGGCCATAATTGAGAAGCACTTTGAGGTTTTTGGAAGCTTGGAAGAGGTTGATGGAATGGTTGCAGGATCTCCAGGTCACGATGACCCAAGGAATGTAGTTGCTGTTCGGTGTTCCTCATTTGGCAACCGTCTCCCCAAGATTGTAATGGTTTTTGGCTGGGTATATGGCCGCTTGTAGAGGGCTGAGAGGCTGTCTGAAAGTTACATGCACTGTCAGCTGCATATGATTGCATAGGCGAGCCTAAAATGTCTGAAGTTCCGTTTGCAGATGGTTTTAACTGCGAATCGGTCTCTTGATGTCTCACACTACTTGTAGAAGGATAAGTCGAAGCATGAAAGTTGAATAAACCGTCATCTGTATACGGCTTAACTGGCGACTGTAAGGCGTCTGAAGTTTCGCTTGGGGATGTTCTTGGCGACGGTGAAAGGCTCGGCGTCAAGTTGCTCTTAGGTGGTTGGATGGTAGAGTACCGCCCATTTTTTAATGCATCAGCGACCGTCTGGGAAAACACGCCCTGCATGTTATCCGATGTACAGGTTCTCGGTGACTGCTCTGGCGACTGAAGTACCGGTGTAACGGCAGCAAATGATGCCCCTTGTTGAGCTTGGAAGGCTCCTTTTGTGGTCGCCTTTGGAGATGATCCCAACGCATGTTCCGTACCGGTTTCTGGCCTCTCTAAAAGCTGTCGAAGAGTTCTTTTATTCTCGTTTGTCACCGTTGGCGATGGCGACTGGCAGTATTCTGCAGGACTGCCTGTTGGGGACTGTAAGGAATTTGGGGTCACGAACGAACTGTCATTCGTTTTAAGTCGCCATGCAGTCTGTTGGCTCTCTGATGCTGTTGAAGGCGTTAAAGTCGGAGACCTGGTTACAGCTGTTGCAGCTGATTCTGAGCGCAGTGGTGCAGACTCCTTCGGAGCCACTTTCTCACCTACAAAAAATGAAACGTTGGTATTTAAGGGATTTCAAGCGTTAAAGAAAGTAGAACAGTTAGTTGCTCAACTGATCAGAGATAATAAACACAGCTAGACATTCGCTTGGTATTTAAAGAATATAGGCATTCAGAATTTTCACTGTAATATAATTATGGTCAGAATACCCCTAAACGACCAAAACTCTCTAGATATTAGATGCCCTTGAGGAATATAATCCTTGTTTTTTATTATTGAGGATACTCTAAGCTGAATGCTTTTTTTCAATGTAAACGTGTTCACAAGAGGTTTGCAGAGTGAGATGCATACATGTATCTCCGTGTCATCTCATTTCTCTTTTATTTATTTGACTTTCTTTCTTTCTCTCTTTTTTGGGGAGGTCTTGAGCAAATCTGAATATAACTTTAATGGATAATATACAATATACAAAAACACAATATTTGGGTAATCGAGGACAGTTTGATGACATTTTTCGGGTACACCTGGTGAACTGATTTGTTGTTTTGTTTTTTGTTGTTGTTGTAAATCCCATAGACTTACTTTTAAAGTTATGATAATCTGATAACACATGATATAACAAATGTTATGTGTCTTTTGTAAAATATCAATATTTCAGCAATAGTTTCAACAAAATATTTTGTATGTCCAACTGAAACACGTTTTGCCACTGATTTGCATTTATGGCATGTAAGTCATGACAAAAAAAACTTTCGGGGCACTTATAGCATATATAATTTCGCCAAGCTTAAAGATACCGTATTCAGTATTCATTCAGCTATTGCTCATTCCTAACTATTTCTCCAAATTAAAAATTAATCAAAGTCTTACTCTCTCGTCCATTTACACCTAAACATAAATTTCAGTGTATTTTCATTAAAATCAAAGCGGTGAAGATACAATGGGTTACTGGATATTCGCTTGTGCTGATTTGGGGGAGGGAAGCGACAAAAACAAAATGAATAGATAAATAATAAAAATAAACAAATAATAATTTCACAAAGTTTCATGCCTAAAAAACTTTTTTTTTTTGCGTTCTTGTCTTCTGCCATGGGCATCAAATAATATGAAGATTATGGATTGGTAGTTCTTATAGTATAGAAGTCAGGCGTCCCCTATGATTTGTACAGGTTAGGGTTAGTTGGAGTATAGGGGTAAGGATATGGGATGAATTTCACCTGTACTAAGTAATGGGGAAAGGACAACGCCGCAGGGGCGGATTTAGGCCGTCTTCTGGGTCTTCCGAACGGTCAGATTTTCAAGTTTACATTGAAGGGTGTCTAATTTTTCCGTCGGAAGACGGTCAAAAATGAAGAATGGATTATAAAGATAATTTGGAAGACTGTCAGAAAATATCTCTAAATCCGCCCCTGAACGGTTCCTAGCGGACTACCATTCCTGTCACACGGCATTGAGGAACAACGCTCCGGAACGTGGAGGCAGTGCCGTGCAAGGTGTCTTATTTTGAACGTGGATCAGCCATTTATTTAAAATCGCGATGGGTCCCTTATCTCTAAATATTGGCTTCAGTTGCATGTGTTAGATAGATTTAAAAAATCACGCCTGGCGGCTCGCGAATTATTATTATTATTATTATTATTATTATTATTATTATTATTATTATTATCTTTTTAATTTTTTTTTAAATTTACGAAGAACCAAATACTCTATAAGGCTTAATAACAACACTATTGTCTCGCAGGAAAAGAAGGGCAGTGCATGGGTGGAAATGTATTTTGAACTTAACAAGAAAAAAAAATATATAAATCAAAACCCTAAGAAAGAAATAAAATAAATTCAAACTTTATTTTTTTGTGCAAGGAAGACGTATGAGCTAAGGAAGAGATCTGTGACTGTATACCATTTACCTGTGCATTTTCCCATTATACAATTTTCAGCCCCCGCCCGCTTTTAAGGGTCGCTACTGATGTGAACTTGCCCCATCTCACAAAACAATCAAACAAAGTTACTTAATTCAAAACGACAGGCAAAATAAAACAGAGACAAAATAGGGGCGGGTAGTTATGTGCCACTTTGACCTAGCCTACAAACCGGAACAGCTGCTGTGTACTCCTTTTGTGCACTCAAGAACCGGTGCCTTTTCTATTTTCTTTCTCTTTCTCTTTCCTTTCTGTAACAAGGGACCACAAAAAGAGAAACTGTACCGACTGCCTCATCTTTGCACTGACTGCTCGCCGGTTTTCAATATACTCATTAGATGCGCTGATGCCAACTGTCATGCAAGTGCCCCTGCCAGTGTCATCAGGCAAATGCTTGACAGCCAAGGGGTGATGATTTATACAGCCAATTGGATTCTTTGTGAAACTCAACTGTAGTCACCTTAATTGCAGTTCGGGGAGGCGAAATAAAAACAACTGTTCTTTTTTTTTAAAGACTGTAGGGCACCAATTTTCCTGCCATTTTGATGCCCCGCTGTAACGTAGTTCGTGTCTCAGAAGTACTGCACCGAGTATTCCTTCCCCGCACCAAATACTCTTATTCAGCTCTTTTCTTGATGTCGTCTTTAGATACGCCAGAAATGACGCGAACTAAAACTGCTGCAAAACACGCAAATTGCACCCAGCGCCCTAGAGTTGACTACAGCAGAAGCCTACACGTTCTATTTTTTGCGGGGAAAGAATCTTAAAGGAAAAACACTGAGGGCTGGACCTTTATCAGTAAATTTTTTAAAAACTTTTTTCAATATTTTTTTCTCTCATTATCTACCATGCAGCTTTTGAGTTCAAAAATCCCTAGCTCATGGAAGAATAATGACGTTCACTTGTGGTGGTAAAAAAAAAAAAAATTAAATAAAAATTACAATGTGAAAACCGATTTATAGAGAGTACTTTTCTCAAAATTTTAAAGAAGGGCATACTTTGGAAAAATTTGGTAACTTTTTTTGCTCTATAAAAAGCAAACGTGTATTTCAAGCCCTTTAAACAGCCTAAGTTGAAACATTATAGTCCTTTGCTAAGCATGCTGGCAAAATATATTTGCACGTGTATTTTGTGAAATTTTGCTGAGCGTTAGTGGATGTCTTCAAGCTTTCAAGCTATCATAATATATTTAGTTTAAGACATTTTATACATCTCTTAAATCTGGGGGCGCAAAAATTGGATTGACCGGCCGATTGCTGTATTTTTTAAAATAAAAAACACTGCACCGAGTTACCCACATTGTAATTTATTTTCCGCGGTAGGCTGCAACGCTATATGATGCGACAATGACAATTGTCACGCTACCTCTGTCAAAAAACAAATCACACCTTTCGGTCTCTGTGCTGAAGGATAGAAATACATAAACAAACATTTCTCTTCCAAGCCACCGTTTTAAATTTTACACAGCTTTTATAAATTTAAGAATTCGCTGGTTTAGTTTATGAATTTCGTTATTGTTGAGATACCTCGTCTTGTACGAACAATGCGCAACGTTCGCATGACAACACTTTGCGCCAAAAAAGTAATTGACAACAGTGGCTCACGTTAAGGCGGGAAACGCACAACTTTCATCATTTAAAGAAAACTTAAAATTAAGTTCCACTGCCCATCGTGTTACCAAGTGTAAATAGAAGGGGAGATAACGCGTCGATAATGATATTATTTTCAAGGAAAATTCAAATATCCTATGCAACGTAATGTTCGACATAACAACATGTAATGTTTTTTTGTAAACTAAGTTCGCCTAGATCACAGAAACTTATAATGTGGGATTTTGCCGACATTGACCCGTCAAATAAAAGGATTGAAGACGAGGTTCACCTTTTTAATTTATTGTCCTTTTTACTTATGAACGTGGTGATTTTTTTTTTAATATTGCCAGACGTTTTAATAACAATTTCGATATCTTTAATGATAACGACAAGTTCTTATTTTTGATTAGTGGTGATAATATGATTAATTTAGTTGCCAAAACCTGCTGCCGATTTTTTAAATTAAGAAGAAATCTTATTTATGAATAATGTTTTCATGTATATTTTAAGTGATATTCAGGCTCTCATAGTTCTATATAGAACTCCTTTTTATGAGTGAGATTTAAATAACATATCTTGATCTTGATCTTGGGAACGATGTAACCTTTATTAGACACCATCGGCGAATTTACTAAATTCATAAAGTACACTTTCCGTGTAGGAAAATATCCCGGTGTCTAAAAGTTTATGTCTACATAACCTGCAAAAACTTCATATTTTCCCCAGTTCAAACATTGAACATTATGAATCTCTTCAAATAAAAGAATACTCCCTTCTGAAATGTACAAAAAATCATAACGGTCTATATTTGTAGACAGATACTTAGAACTAAATTATTTAATAAGAAATTATATGTAAATCATCGAATCCAAGTGCGCGAAAAGGTTGAGCGATGATTTGTGAGTTGGTTGAGGTAAAGTTAATTTAGCGCAACAGTCCCAAATATTATAACTTTCGGTCACTTATAAAGGTTGTATGTTTAAAACCGCCTATTTTGTGTTTAAAGTAAAGTCAAAGAGAAGGGGGGTAGCTAAGCTGCCAAAGAAATAGTGGCTGAGCCACCGATACTAAATGATTAAGCTTTTATCTCAGCTATGGACTTATACATGTAATACTTTCCTCTCAAATATAATTTAATACGCAAAAATATAATTTAAAACACAATATTACATCTAGGGCATCGGACAAAATGGATCGTGATGGTAAAAGGAGTATGATGTTGAAAGGACAGGACTGGTTAACACCGACCAAACTGTAGATGATGATAATGACGATTATTGCATCTAGAAACGATTTCAAAGAATATACACACAAATGTTATAAAGTACAAAGATGCTTAACGCTTAACCACATTGCCCCGACGGGGAGCTTCTCCAAAAAGTTCCTTTGCTAGTTATAATTTCATAAGTAGGGGCCTACTCTCTCGAGTCCGTTATTCGCTTATTTTTTGGTCCAATTATGACCTAATTCAAAAACGTTTTACAAGTGTACTGCACTGAGTACCTCTTTTGCGCACTCGTTGCTGTTCTCTGTTTTGCCAAGTTTTTTTTTTCTTTTTTTTTATGAGACTCGATGTGCGTCGACAGTAACACTATCACGTCAGCGCTGTCAAAGAGACAAAAGTTTCTTGTCACCTTAAACAAGGTCACTGAAACGTACCAGCATATCCGGTAAAATACAGTGCTCCCATTTCATGGTCTGCTGACACCTTTAAAGATACTGTTGTAGTCAAAGATAAAGTAAGAGGCCTAGGGTGACTAGGTATGTTCGGTTACTGTATTTTAACTGTATAAGAAAAACAATGTTATAGTTGACTAAGATGACCTCTAAGATTGGTTCTGTGTTAAAATCTATTGGTTTTTGCACGAAAGAAGGACTTCTGCGTAAGAGTGAGAAAAATTGTACATTTTGCAACTTGGTTTGTTGGATTTTATGCTCAAATATAAGTTTGAGTTTAGGAAGGGCACGGTTAAATACTGAAGTACAAAGTTTTGATACCAAATAGGGAGGTTGGTACTGTTTTATTTTAATGGAAAGATATTTTAGATAAGGAAATGGACTGAATTATTTCTAAAAATGTTTTTAAGCACGAATACACATCCTTTTGAACCCGTAACTTTTCTATTGAATTCGTCACTGAATTTGACAAGAAGATGCGTTATGTTCCCCCCCCCCCCCCCACTTCTCCCTTCGTCACAAGCCTAACTCAAAAAGTTATATGTGGATTTTGACGAAATTTTCAGGACTGGTCCCAAAGAGTCTAACTGAAAAGTGTAGATTGTTATCATAATGTACTAAACTGTTTTATCTTAAATTTAACACCTTTTATGTGGTGCTGTGAGCGCCCTTGTGAAAATGATCATATATTTAGTTTGAAAGACGGTATACGTGTACACACACTGGAAAATAGAAGTGTCACCCCTACTGAACCAATACTTTGGGGGAGATAAATGACTGTGGAATGATATGCTCCTGGTATCATTTTATTGACATCAAATTTCACAAAAAGACCAACAATACAATACCATGGTACAGCGGTTTTATACTCATTAGTCACATCATAAGTAGACCAGGCATTATAACTACTCAAGATCTACCTACTTTGATTACTCTGATTCAGGGGGTGACACTTCTATTTTCCATTGTGTGTATATTAACTAAAATAGCTAGAAAAGCATCAGTTTCATTTTTTGAATAGATGATTATTGACCATACTTTCTTCTGGTGCCAGTTTGCACTTTGTGGTCTTAATTTTTAAAGGAAGCAGTGCTTCTCTTTTTCATCTCTTGGTGAAACTTAAAAAATTTGCTTACTTTTTTATTTTGAAAGTGTACACATACATATCCATTTTCATGGGTCCTGTATCTAATGGCTTTTATCATTTACTGTGTTCAGTCAAATATAATAAAATAAGAATTACAATGGAGTCATTTGTATAACCTTTTTTAATATTGTAATATCGGTTAAAATAAAGTCGGAAAGAGACACTTTTTAAGATAAAGCCCCCCCCCCTCTTTGAAATTGATGGCTACGCCCCATTTGTTAATTAATGGATTTCAACAGAATGACATAACACTGACAATGAAGTCAGTTTTATAACATTTTTTGAATTAGTGCAGTCATTATTATAGCACATGTTATTTTCTGATTTTACAAATATTTATCTAACTTTAACACTTTCCCTGTCTTTTAGTCATATTGCAGTTTGAACCCCTTTTCAGTGTACTAAAATGGTTTAATGTCTTTCTGGCCTTGTTCTTTTTTAAATTTATTTGTTACAAATAAATCTAAAACACATGTTTGTTAAAATATTGTTTCACTTTTTCAGATAAATCCCTGCCCTCTTTAAAGTTGATGGTTACAGCCCCTTAGTTAATTATTTTTTCTTGGCGGAGGTCTGCGGGAGGTCTGCGCTCTCTGGATACTCCTCAGGTTTCTAAGTCTTGTCATCGCCGCACTTAGCCACCTGTTTTTTCTTTTGTCCTCCAAACAACCAGACAGACAAAAACGTTTTTTTTTAGAAGTACTGCACCGAGTTCCCACACAATGCACTCACTGCTCTCACGTGTTCTCTTCCCTCATTAGATTCGCTTTTTGGCAAGTTCCTTTTCACTTCCGTCACGCACGCAAAGGCAAGCTCAGCTCACGACAACATGATCCTTCGACCACCCCAGAGATTTTTTCTGTGAGGGACTTGGCTCTCGACGGTGAAATGTCCATTTTTGACCCAAATTTTATAAAAGCGTTGACTGCTCATGTTTGATTGTATGGAATACGGGACTTAAAGTCATACAAGAGAAGGAAAGGTTTTCTGTGTAAAGTTTTTCAATGAAATATATTTGGGCGTTAAGTTAAAAAAATTTTGGGTGCAGGATACATGAACAATACCCAACTTCGTATGATGATAATTTCTAACGATTTTGATGAATAGAATTACGAATTACAGGAAATGTCAGTACAGTAGTTATCGACCAATGTGCCATCTTTAAGCGATGTGCCGTCCTTTGTTTTTCATTGCGAATGTCTCTTAACTTACCTGTGATTGAAGATTCCGTTTTCAGTCTTTTGGGCATGACAAAATTGAGCTGTTCCGTGATTTGTTCCATCTGCTGAAACTGGTCGGCCAACAAAATCCGTATTCTCTGGTGCTTCTTCCATAACTGCTGACAAAGGACTTGTTGTTCCGGCGTGAGTTGCAGTTGGCCTTCAAACTGAAAATGAGTATTTTAAAGGGAAAACTGATAAAAATCTAACACTAACTCATGCTCATGGCAAAAAGTAAGCTGAAACTTGAATAGGGATGAATTATGAAAATTATAACACCTTAAAGCCACAAGGTGAAAAAACTTAAACATATGAATCATAGTCAAATATATTTTTTTTGTATTTTTTAATCTGCTTAAATGCTGGATGAGCACGTTTGCTATAAGCAGGGAGGGTAAAAATCGTCCGCAATCACGGGATTACGGGATAACTCCCCGCATGCTGAAAAAAAAAAAAAAAAAAAAAAACGCTTCTCGAGTTTATTAAGTACACAAACTTTTGGTACACAATAAATCGAGTAGAATTTACAGTATGGGCACACGATGCATAGAGAATGTAATGATGATGGGGTCATTCAGGGTTCAAGATAAGACCAATCAATAGCCGTGTTGTTAAATTTCCCAGAGAAAAAACTGAGGTTTTTGTTGAAGGTAAAAAAATAGGCGGTGAAAACGTCCTGGACTTGATGACGTATTTCATGACGGCGTAGCAGGAGCCTCATATGACCACGTTATGTGATCCAAGACCTTTTACTTTGCGCAAAAGATTTGAAATTCATTACATGTGTTAGAGAGCAGGGCTCATTTGACATGGAGTTGGGGTTTGCACTGTACCGACCCGGGGTAGGGTTGAATGCTAGGGATCCTGGTTTGCTTTGGCGGAAAATGGAAAAAAAGTAAGTACGAAATTGAATTCTTAAGAAAGCAACAGACTAATAAGTATTCTGATGGGATATTTACTGTTATATTCAAAAGATGTAAAGTAAATATTTTATAGAGCTGTTACTAGCAACTCAATTACTTCTTCAATCTCGTGCAGATTGTGGACAAGTTGAATGAAGCCTGTATAAATGAAATCATCAAAAGGCAATTTGGACTGTTTTTCAATATTCCTTCGGCCATCTGATCATTTATGTCCAGACCCCGCGGACGTCTCAAAGTTATCACATTACGATGCTCCTTTCCATATAAAAATTGTACAGATTTGAATTTAATTAATTACTGACAGAGTTAGTAGAGTTACCTTTAACACGTGTTATTTAGTGCAGGGAGTGACTTATGAAAACAACTTATGATCACACAGAAAGAAAAAGAATTTAAAAAATGCACTGTTTCATGACAAAAGTGATAGAAAATATCAAACTGAACAAGTTTATCTGGATTTTAGAGGTTTTGGGACAATGAAAAAAGATGCAATTTTCAAAGTCAACCTCACCAATTAATGTAACCAGCACCAGAATAGGGATATCATGACTAAATCCATAAAATGTCATAAGTAAATATTTTATCTAAAGATAAAAAAATAAGTTTATAGATAAGAATGTTTAACATACGCGCACAAAAGTATATATATTTTTTGTAAGCAATTGGTTAGATATGAGTAATATCGCTAAAGATTATTCTTTTTAAAGTTCCCTTATTTTAACAGATTCCCAGAATTTGCTTGAAGTGAAAAAGGCATTAAGGATTGACCCACGGACGATATGTTATCTGCAACTATATTCACAGCTGCGGTAGTGATCATAAGCTTGCAGATGTGCAGTTTAACATATACGTATATACGCCCCCTTTTTTACACAAACCAATGATGTATAATACTCAGAGATACGTTTCGATTTGACAGAAAACAAACGTTGCGAGAAAGGACATTTGCTGCCAATTAATACCACCAAACTGATAGACGTTTATGCGCACGATAAGAATTAGACGGATTTCTGGGCTTTGTGCAACGGTCGCAGCGTCCGCTCTATCCAAATAACTTTACCTACATTCAACAGTGATTTGTTTTACAACTTTGCATTTTGCCTTCTAATTACATACATTAATACATATTTTGGTTGAGATTAAGATAGTTATTATTTTTATGCATTTCTAACACAAGGCTTTAATTGGTTTCAGTATATTTCAAAAATCAAAACTCCGAACGACAGCATTTGGATTTCATTTTTCTTCTCTTTACTTTTTGATCTCTGTCTTATAGTTTAAAATGAGCGCTTCGCCAGGGTTTAAGATTCTGTAGATTTGATGAAAAGGTATTTGTTTTATTATTATAAATTAAAACTCACTCTTCTTATCCAAATTTCGCAACACTGCTTCTTAGCGCATTTCTTTTACTGAAACTTTAATGACAAAATCAACTGATTTCTTTTACCTTTTTCTTTTGTTATCGAAATAAATTAGCCAAAAATTAAAATCCAAAGTACAATTCTATTTATTTATGAAAAAAATACATTGACAAGAAGTAGTTGAAATGATAAATATGAAAGGAACAATTTACTAGATACGTCAATGATGTTTTAAATCACATCAAAACAATAAATGCATTTAGAATTATTCAAATGTCATATCTTATACCTAAATATACAGCAAAGTTATTATCATTACCAATTATTATCCTAATAACGGTAATATCTTAAAATAAAATAACCAGATGTCGATACACCTGTCATGAATATTTCGAAAACTTACGACGGTATAAATGTATCACGATTTGTTATCAACTGAGTTATGTTTTTAACGACAGTACAAACCTCTGACGCGGGTCGAGCAATGGATCGTGAATAGGTGAAACTTGCTTTTTCCTCGAGGAGTACGCATTGGCGCGAAAATCTCGCATAGAACATCTTTCGTGTTAATTTTAAGTAAATCACTTTTCCGATGGCCATTCCGCCTCCTTACCCGTTATTCCACACCCTCAAAACAGCAACAACTGATTGATTTAAACTTAGTATTACTAGCATGTTCCTGATAGCAGTGAGTTTATATACCTCTAAAAAGATATATTATATAGTACATGTAAATTTAAACATTCCGCTGACATGTTTCAGAATTTTAGAGCAGTTGCAAGTGACTGCATAATGTTTTTGTACTTAATATGCATATCTAATTTAAGTGATATAGCCTGTTTGCCGCGGATTCAAGAACTCCATTTAAATTTTTCAACAAATATTTAAATTTTCAATCAAAAAAATGAAAACATAGACGTAGAAAATTATAACTGGGCAGGTGGATTCGTAAGCATCTGTGAGTATAAACTACCACTTATAATTAGAGAAAGAACAAATTAAATAAATAAATAAATAAATAAATAAATAAATAAATAAATAAATAAATAAAGATTTTAAATTTAAATGGACGACTGGGAGTCTACATAAAGATGTCGTCAACTGAAAACACGTTTGGGAGGAAAAACTGCTTGGGGCTGAAGTTTCTAGCCGAGCAGTCGTAACTGCATGATACATACTTAGAGCTGACAGTGACAACAAAGCACTAGTCACCTTAGTAGGACGCCCTGGGCGTTTAACTTTTCAAAAGCAAAATTTTATTCTAGTTCTCGTTTTTTAACATCTTTCCCTTAAGCTTCGAGGTGAACTTTTTTGTACAATCCATGGCCCTGTTTTTGAGATTGTCGCTGATGAGTCACTCTAAAAATGATATATTATAATAATATTCTTATAATAATAATAATAATAATAATAATAATAATAATAATAATAATGTTTGTTTGAAGTCACAAATCCCTTCAAAATGTTCAGTCAACTTTGTTTAAAAACAAATATTTAAGAACACAATTACCAAGATAGGCGTTAAAAAAAGATAAAAGATAAAAAAAAAAATTAAGAAAGATAAAGGTTCCACATAAAAGATAGTTCTTACATAAAACCAATTACAATTGAAACAGTCAATGGTGAAACTTCCTAAAATGCTATGTTTTTAACTCCTTTGTAAATTTATCAGTTGCCTCACATTCCATTCGACTCTACCATCAGATTTAAAACAGATATCCCTATAAGTTTTAAGATGAAGATCTCTGGTGAATTGCACTCATTACAGTAAAATAGCAATTAAGAACTAGAAAACAGATTTGCTAATAATTGTTTCTTCAGTAGGTTTAGATGGAATAAACCTTGATGATAAAGAAAGTAAAATTGTTGAAATTATGAAAAAAAAAAAACATTTTAGTTATACGAAAATCTCACTGTCTTTACGCTCAGAAAACTCATCATGGGTCATCTTGGGTATATAAGTGTAGATGTAATGGGCGGATAAGTCACACTCTGACTGTGGGATGCACAGTGGTCCTTTTTATGCTAAATCGAACAAAACTTTGAAACTGATTTGTGAAAAGTGATCGCATTCGTCATCTTGAATAAATGGAAAGAGGGAAGACTCACGACGAGACTGGGATCTTGACGTAAAGCATCATTGAGAAATATCAAAAATGGACCAAAATCTTATTATTTATTTGTTTTTATTTATTATTTTAAGTGATGGGGCTTGACGTTTAACATCAATGAGAAACATAAAAAAGAGATCAAAATATTTTTATTTGTCTATTTTTTATTTTAAGTGAAGGGGCTTACCACCAGTACAAAGTCAAATATTTGGCCACGAGGTTAATTAAGTCTGTCTCAAGAAAAAAATTGTGACCATACCAGGCACCGATAAAAATTTAAATGAAAGTTTCGCATCCCCTTACGATCAATTATCAGGGTTTTTATCAACCCTAAAAGTCTGTCTGTTTTTCAAAGCAGTAGTACATTGGTGATGCTTGGGCCTAAACACTTATTCCACAAGTTGGTTGACATATTAATGGAGACAAACTATTTATAATAGTCTTGTAGATATTTGTTACTTGTAGGTTTGTTGTCAACCCTAAAAGTTTGCCTGTTCATAGAAGTAGTAGATAGCGGCCCATAGCCAGCAAATTCAAAAGGGGGGTTCTTTTTCTGAAAAAGTGGACCTTTTACAATGAAACTTATGTGTACCTATGTAAAATTTTACCCAAAATGGACCGTTTCATGACAAAAGGGGCTTTTCTTTCGAACCCCCCGAACCCCGCCTGTCTACAGGCCTGGATAGGTAGTATATAGTTCTGAAAATTTCTTCCACGGGTCGGTCGACATATTTATGGGGAGGTGATATTTATAGTAGTCTGGTAAACACTT